TTGTTCAAGAATGGTTTTTTTTTGGTTCTTTGTGCATTGTCCCAACTTGAAATGCATTCTTCTCTTTTCTCATATATAACATTAAGTTGTAAGAGAGGCTACAAAAGTTTTAAATTTCACTCCATCTTGTGTGTTGGAAATTAGAGAAGTTTGTTTCTTTAAAATGTTTGTTTTCGTGAAAACCGAGTTCTTTCCACGTATCATGGAGTTTGAGGTGCAGATATTTATTGGTGCTTAGTGCTTTTATTCATAAGAGAATCTGTATATGCTAAGTGTTATTTATGCTGTAGGGGTGTTGCTTGATGACTTGCTTGTTGCTGAAGACATGGCTGCTGCCGAGACAACAACAGCAGCTTCACATGCTGCAGCTGCAGCTGCTGCTTTTGATGAGCATGCAGGGCAGTTACCTGGAAAATATGGATTTGGCGGTGAAAGAGAAAAGCAAACAACGCCTGAAGCAGCTCCTGATGGAGCAGTTGTGCTGGGAACTCCGGTTGCCCCCCCTGTAAATGGGGATATGTATACTGACATAAGTACTGAGAATGTCGCGCATCAAGGATCCAGGTAAGATAGAACTGTAATTGTATTTATTTATTGGCTATCAAATGCTTAAGCCTCCTCAACTAATCCAGGGAGCTGCTACAATGTGGTTTATCTTGTAGAAGAATGAGCAAAGGCGTTGAGTATTTGGTTGAGGCAGCAGCTGCTGAAGCTTAGGCTATTAGTGCCACACTGGCTGCTGCCAAGGCACGACAAGTTAATGGAGAAGTTGAACTTCCCGATAGGGATCGAGGGGCAGAGGCTACACCTAGTGGAAAACAGATGTCTACTTTGATTAAAATGCCTGATTCTGCTGGGTCAAATGATGTTGCTCCAACTGGAGTTCGGCTTCACCATAGAGCTGTCAGTATCAGATAGTTTGATTGACATGATACTGTTTTTGAGTCAATATTGATATTGTTTGTTATCTATGACTTTGTTTCTAATGTTTCCTTTATGCAATAGGTTGTTGTAGCTGCGGAGACTGGTGGAGCTTTAGGTGGGATGGTCAGACAGCTTTCTATTGATCAATTTGAAAATGAGGGCAGGCGGGTTGGCTATGGTACTCCTGAGAGTGCAACTGCAGCAAGGACACTATTAGATAGGCAGATGCCAATCAACAGTGTCCCAAAAAAGGTATTAATATCCTCTTGTGTGTGTCATAAAGCAAGACCTGTGTTTTAGAGGTAATTGCTGATGTATCTACAAATAAAAAAAAGAAGAGTTGAATAGCAGTAGTAGGATCTTTCAATTTGAATTGTTTACTTTATGGTTTAAGATATTGTTGTACCTTTTACTTCATTGCTATGAGATTAATTTTAGTTTATCTGTGTTAAGATGAATCTTTTCTTTTTATGACACTTGATAAATTCAGGAGAGTAATATATTTTTGAACTCTGAATTGAAGGTGATAGAGTTCTACCTTATTCTATCCTTTTGGGTTCACATTTAGTACCCTCATATGTATATATGCTCTTTATTGTTCCTAAGGTTATTATTTCTCTTGATACATGTTGATTTACAGCAGGATCTATACAATCAAAGCAATGAAAGTAATCTCATTGGCTTCTTACTCAGCTTAAATTCTGCTATAGAAGGAAAGGGAAAGAAAAAGCTTGTTTTCCTTGTGATTATTTGTCTGCTAGATTTCATTACCATGCTTTTAATCTTATTGTTGTTTTGCAATCCTCATGAATGCATGCCAGTATTAAAAAGTAGATTATCAATTTTATATAGCGGCTTGGAGAGAATTCCTCTATGAGATTTCTCTTGTTCGATTTGAGAAAATCCATATTTTCTTGAATATGTCAGTTTAATAATGTGACTGATAATTCTTATACATTGACCCTCAGTTTTGTTTCAGTTGGTTATGAGATACTGTTGAATGATAGTTCTGATTGGATTTTATTTGAAGTATTCTATTAGTCTTGCATATGTATTCCTGTTTTATATGTCAAAATGCTTCCTTGCTAAACTATAATGAAGAGTCTATGTCATTTTGTCCAGGTCATAGCACATCTTTTGAAGCCTCGTGGTTGGAAACCTCCAGTTCGTCGACAGTTTTTCTTAGATTGCAATGAAATAGCAGATCTCTGTGAAAGTGCCGAACGAATATTTGCTGCTGAACCAACTGTTTTACAACTGAAAGCTCCTATTAAGATTTTTGGTGATCTACATGGACAATTTGGGGATGTTATGCGCCTTTTTGATGAATAAGTGCCCCTTCAACAGCTGGAGACATTGCGTAAGTCTGGTTAAAATTAGTGTTTCCTGACGGCTTTTTACTGGAAATGTTTAAAATTTAAATTGACTAGGTTTTCAACTGACCTTTTTCAATATCATAACTACGGTTGTCTCTCTCACGTGTAACCTCCATGTACTGTATTGCATCGCGTTTTTTAATCTTGACATTTTATTTACCTGATATTGGTTTGGTTTAAATTACTATCAGATATATCGATTATCTCTTCTTAGGAGATTATGTGGACCGGGGTCAACACAGCCTGGAGACCATTACTCTTCTGCTTGCATTGAAGGTAAATTTGGAAATTTCATGCTTTGATCATCTTCTCATGCTCACTTTTACATCCTGTTGAAGTTTGTGATGAGCCTAGATTTTCATGTAATTATGTTATGTTGCAGGTTGAGTATCCCCATAATGTGCATTTAATTCGGGGGAATCATGAAGCTGCAGATATCAATGCACTTTTTGGCTTCCGGATTGAGTGTATAGAGCGCATGGTATTGTTTCACATTGTGTTTGAAAGATGTTAGTCATGTTTGGTATATTTTTTTCGTCACAATTCTGATGGCTTGTCACAGGGTGAGAGAGATGGAATATGGGCATGGCATCGCATAAACCGTTTATTCAACTGGCTTCCTCTGGCAGCTCTAATTGAAAAAAAAATCATTTGTATGCATGGTGGCATTGGTCAGTCTATAAATCATGTGGAGCAGATTGAGAATCTACAGCGTCCAATTACAATGGAAGCAGGCTCGATTGTTCTTATGGACTTATTATGGTCAGAGCATGTTACTATTTTGTTCGAGTCTTGGAATATAGTATTTATTGCTTTAATTTACTGATTTATTTTACTGCCGTTCTATATTCTAGGTCTGATCCAACAGAAAATGATAGTGTGGAAGGGTTGCGACCAAATGCCAGAGGTCCAGGGTTGGTTACTTTTGGGGTGAGTGTGCTACTTTAGAACCTTTTTTTCTTAAAACTACAACGTTTTAAGTTCTTTCTAGCTGCATTTTTCATTGGTTTCAACATTTGTGGAGGTACTTGCTTGTCAATTTGCTTGCATATTATGGCTAGCTGGTTGATCTCCATATTGCTTCCATGAAACTGCTTCACTTTCAATTTTCCTCTCTCACACTCTCAAACGCATACACTTACGAACAAACTGCTTTAAGGGGATGGCGCTCTCTTTAAGATACCCTTGAAAGTTTTTTACTTAAGATATTGTTTAAATTGCTCTTATCAAACGCATACACTTACGAACAAATTGTTCTTATCAAAAAAAAAATATTGTTTAAATTGCTTGTCCCCTTACCCACTTGCTTGTGCAGGTCATTCCTGAGCGAAACTGTCTTTTCTGATTACTTCAATGATGATTTTGCGTTTTATGCTTAAGTAAATGGTTCTTACTGTTGCAGCCTGATCGTGTTATGGAATTCTGCAATAACAATGATCTTCAGTTAATTGTTCGTGCTCATGAATGTGTGATGGATGGCTTTGAGCGTTTTGCTCAGGGACATTTAATCACTCTTTTCTCGGCAACCAATTATTGTGGTGTGTTCCTGATCCTTGCTTTAGTATACATGCAATTTCTCAGGTTCGGACTATTTAGCCTTTAAGTTCTGTTTCATGCTTGAATTTTCAGGCACTGCAAATAATGCTGGCGCAATCTTAGTTTTGGGTAGAGATCTAGTGGTAGTCCCGAAACTCATTCATCCTTTACCCCCTGCAATGTCATCGCCAGAAGCATCACCGGAACGTCATATAGAAGATACATGGATGCAGGTGCCTCCTCTCTCTCCTTGTCATTTCTGTATCCTTTTACTTACTACGTGCATAGCTTCTTATACTGTTGCTTATTTCTTTTAACCATTGGATCAGGAGTTGAATGCTAACAGACCTCCGACACCTACTAGAGGTCGTCCTCCAGTGGCAAATGATCGAGGCTCTCTCGCTTGGATATAATACATCCTTCCAATTGTTTCTATGTACTCATGCTAACACACGGTGATTCTGCTGTTCCATATAAGAGCATGGTGCCAAATACCGGCATTTCCAAACTTGTGATCTCTCTCGTAACGAAGTTTGAAGGCTGACTTTGGTTTTTCGCCGGTTTCAGCACACGGTAGGCCTTGAGAGTATGAAAGATGCAAAGTTTCGTTCTTTGATAGTATGATAGATACAAGCTGGAGAGGCATTTTGTGGGCGGCGTAGGTTTCGTTTTTGGTAGCGTTGACGTGCAAAATTCAGGCTTCTCTGTGTAAATTGAGGCACAGCCAGGTGTCAGTTGGGTGGTTTCTTCAAATGGGCATAGTATTTTTCACATTTAGTTTTTTTAAATATTATATTTTATATTCCTCTTTTAATGGTTGATATATTTTTATGCCCTTTGACGTTGGTCATATGTGATGATGTGAGAGAGTTAAAAAAGAGAGTATGTTGGCGTTGGTTGTATCAAGAGGTATTGATTGGTGTAATTCTTTTTCTGCTTTGTACGATGATGTAATGCTTTGTGGGAAGATGACAAACTGTTCAACCCTGGAAGTTTGCAGATGATTTTGTGCCCAAAATTAAAACCTGTTGGGCCAACCATGACTCGACTCATGCTCAAACCAATTGAAATATAAAAACAGTCCATTATATTAGCCACAAATAGGCAAAGGGAATCATACAAAATCTCTACTATATATATATATATCTCCCTCGGGTGTTTTTTTATTGGGATTTTGACTACTACACGATCAGCCTCCTCAAAGAGTGGGATGTGGAAAAAACTAGCTTGGAGAGAACAAAAATAATAATAAGAGTAATATTATGGGCATGGATTTTGTTCGTCAGGAAGTGGCAATGCAATGTGGTCTCCAGAATAGAAGTGACCTATGTTCCTTGCACCCTTTCAACAATGGAACAAGCTCATCACCTTTGATCTTCCCTTTCATTGCTTGTGACTGTTGATCAAGTGCCGCAGCCGCATGTCCCTTTGACATGCAGTGATTCGGCCTCCTCCAGTAGCACTCATAAGTATTCAACGATATAACTGAGCTTGCTCCTGTTATCGCCAAAATTGGCCTAGACACCAAAGGACGCGGTGGCAATGACTGTGCTATTGCTGGTGGTGGTGGTGGTGGGGCAGTTGGCTTTACTTTCCCCTCTTCGTCTCCGGATTTGACTATTTCATTGATATCTTTAGGCCATGTTGGGTTCCTAATTGCTGACCACATCGGCTTGTTCATCACAACGGCTAACCTGTGCACATCGATTGCTCCACTTGACAGTTTAGGAGCCTCCTCAATCTCATAACACCCATCTTCACATTCCTCCCCTTCTTCATCAATGTCTTTTTCACTTTCTTTTACTCCAAAGCTTTCAAACTCTTCTTCTAACTCTTCCACTTTTTCAGTACCATTGGTATTGGCAAAAGTGAGGACAAGGCGACCGTCTTGGCGTTGAGCAAGAAAATTGTTCAAACAAGGCATTGAAACAGCTTCAATGACCAATCTCCCATTATCACGACTAGTCTTCAACTGCCTCGATGCTCCGTCTTTGGCCGAAAGGGAAGATATTGGCGGAGGAAATGACGGGTTTGACGATTTCTTGCCAACATCGTAGTTATGTTTCTCAATTATTGCTGCCTTTTCACCATCGAAACAAGGCATAACCATCGGTGCCACCGGTTCTTGCTTTTGGTGAGGTAGTTGTTGATCCTCTTGCTTATCTTCCTCCACGTCACCGGTTTCCGAAGAAAACCCATCGGAGCCGGTCTCGGAACCAAGGCTCTCGGTGCAAATTTCAAGGCTCTTGTCGCTCAAACAGCTACCTGATCGCTTCACAAGAGGGTGAATGTAAGGCGGGGAAGAGTTCGAAGCCCCTTCCACGGCCTTTTGTGACACGATCGAGCTCCATATGTCGAACAGGCCTCGATTTTCAACTTCCTCCTTGTTCTTTCGTTGAATCGAAGCCCAGACATCGAATTGACTCGACGCTTCATTATCTTCTTCCCCTTCTTCAAACGATGAAGAAACAGGGAACTCGTGGGATGAAGGACTCTTTTTCAGGGGAGACAACATGAACCCTTGTGTCAACGACATATCAGCGGACAAAGTTCTTCTAAGCGAAGTAGCTTTGGCGGCCGGTGTGTCGGAATCCGATACGAGAATGGAGACTATGCCTTGCTTCTTGGCATCCATGGCGTCTTCAGGTGAGGATAATATAAAGTAATCACACAAATTTATCTGTCAAAGTTGAAAGAAACAAAACAAAAGAGCTTAGGAAATAGGTATGGCTAAACAAAAAGTTACAAAGAAACATGCATGCATGTTGCTTATAAGGTACATGTAGATAATCATAATAATAAGAAGAAGAGATTAGAAATGAATTTACCTAATAACAGCAAATATGTAGTAGCAGCAATAGTATCCAACAGAGGTTAGACCTCTGGGGGTGCTTTTGCTTGAATTTTCTTTTGATGTAAATCAGAAGATGGAAATGGGTTTGATTGATGATGAAGCAATGCGAGGGGGTGGGGGGTGTATTTGTAAGGAGGCTTTGGAATCATGTCCATCGGTCCCCATCTTCCACTGCTATCACAATTTTTTGTGATTTAAAAATTCAAAAAAAGAAGAAAGTAAGAATAGTGTTCTAAGTGGCGTTACCAGGGATTGACAGAATCATAATATTAAGGGTAAACTATTTGAATGATCATCTAATTATGAAGTTAGTGTCCATATGACTATTTAACCATTTAATTTATTTTAATATAATCGTCTCGGTTAACATATAACATAATTGTTAATATTGATATAATTATATATTTTATCTTCAATACTTGTACATATTCAATTTGATCATAATTTTAATTTAATTTAATAAATTAATCCTTCAATCAAGAGATGATATTTGTCAACATATGATCGTGACACATGTCCTAGTTGACACGTGTTAGCACTTGGAGTTTTTTTTATAAATTTAAATTTATTTAATTAAATTTATTTTCTATACAATCAAACAATGACACGTGTCACCTCCTGAAGAGACGCCTAAGCCAATGTGCCAAATGTTTTGTTTGATTAAGTATTGCAACAAACTCTATTTATCTTATATTACTGCTAGTGATATAAAAGCAAAGAAATAAAATCATTTAAATGAGGATTCAAACATATGCCAATTATAAAATATAAGAACACCTAAATTAATTTTAAAATATGATATTTTTATAATTAAATATGATTTATATATTATAAACTATATTTAATACAAGATTTAAAATTAAAAAAATGTTTTTAAACCAATTAAAAAATTCAATATTTCGAAATTAAAAAAATTAGTACTTTTTTTTTCATATTTACATGTCACGACCATATGTTGACATCTCTTACCTCTTGATTGAAGGGTTAATTTATTAAATTGAATTAAGAGTAAGACCAAATTGATTGAATGTACAAGTATTGAGGACCAAATATATAATTATACCAATTTTGTTAACTGTCACCTAAATACTTCCGTTAATTATTAACGACATGTAACTATATAGTTAAGTAATCGTATTGATAAAATTTTAAAAATGGTGATCACATCGACACCAGTTCTATAGTTAGATGGATGGTCATTCAAATAGTTTACCCTGCTATTAGCTCCAGAGGTAAAGTGTAATTTACTTAAAAAGCAATGTTATTGACGGATCAAATACGAGTGTTGTTTTTCTTTTAGAATAATCTATGAATGATTATAAAAGACATAACTATTTAAATTCGAAATTCGTGAAAAAAGTAAAATCCTATTTTAACATTTAAATAACCCAACGAATTAGGATTTTATTTTTGTGAACAATAGTACATAAACGTGATGTTTGAGATTGAGTGTTTAGACAGCTAAGAGTAAGTTGAAGAACGATTGAACATTAGAAGGGGTAGGAGTCTAAACATGATTGGCCCGACAGCTTTTGTTGAACCAAATTATTAAACCGAATCCGATTTTAGTAGCGACCCGAGTCTAATCAACACAAGAGACGACCGTCCTTCCTTTCTTTTAATAATAATAAAAAAACGTGATTTTCAACTCAAATCATTCTCGTATGTAATCTTCGAATATTGAATTTTACTTATTTTACTGAAAAGTTATAAAAGATGGAAATGATTTTATAATTATTAATTGTTTACAAAGTTTTATTTTTTTCTTAATTAAATTATTACCCCATTACCTTATTATTACATCAGTTTAGTCAAAGATTTAATAGTAGCTAGGCACTTTTTGATTTATTGACCTTTATAATTCAATTTATTTTTTGATTTGAATATTTGTTTCATGAAATAAAACATTTATGTTAATTCTTATTAGATACTAGATAAACTACATGATTTACCGCTTTCGTTTAAGTTTTGTATACTCTTCTCACTGAATTTAAAAAAACATAAGATTGTATCACTATCGTCTTTATTTAATTAAGAAGAATGACTTACAATTAATTTATAAATTTAAAAAGGTAAACTGTACAAATGGTCATTGATGTTTGAGTAAAATTTCATTTTACCCATTGGAATTTAAAAAATAACATATTGGTCACTAAGACATCAAATAGGTCTTTAAACAGTGGTTTTATATCTAGTTTATTCCGAAAACCTTGTAATTTATTGTTTATCATTTGAAATATTCGATTGTTTCATGTCCAATGTCACATATGATAACTCATGCATGAAGCTATGACATAAGAAGCTAGGTCATATAAGTGAGAAGGGATTGCAAGTTGTAGCTTAAAAAGAGCTTCTTATGAACATATTCCAGGGCAAGTATGGGCATGCACGAAGGTTTCATACGAACATTTTAAGATATATGACAATATTTATACTCTGTTGTGAAATTAATTTTATTATCATTATATGAGTAATAATTCGGATTATATTATTCTTTTTGCAAATAATCCGTAAAATGTATTAGAGTGAGGATTAGTTTATCCTAAAAATAGAACATATAATAAATTAGATGCCAACTAGCAACAACTATAAAAAGCACGATGACGCAGGGAATCAGCTTTATATATTTGTAAATTTAAAATAATTTGATGGAACAACAACAACAACAAAACCCTATTTTTATATGTAATGGGGTAAGGAGAGGTAGGGTAGTAGGCTGCCCCCAACATCAAGTAGAGAGCAGCTTCTGTGGAAGACCTCCAACAGTCAGAAAATTAAAAATATAGATAAAATACGTGCATGTATAAATAAATAAACACATAGTTGAACAGACTTCATACGAACATCTGTAATGAAAAGTAATCACTGCAAATAAATTCCTGCGTAAAAATCTTTGCATATAGACAAAAACGTAAGTCCCGGCTACATTTGATGGAAGTAAGTACTAAATTTATTATTCCTATTATATATTATACTATTAATTATTATTCCTAAAAAATGCGACGGATTAATTAATATTTAAGAATATTTTACTATTTTATGTCCAAAGTCAAAGCCCAACTTTCTTTTCCTAAAATAAAAAAGGAACATTCGTCTCCAGAGTCTTATAAGCTTGAAAACCTTGTAAAAGTAGGGTTTGCATGCATTATTCTAATTAATTATCACTTATTATAATTAAACATTCTTTGATCATGGTTTATGACGTGTGATTCCTCCTTGACCTATAATTCCACGAGTCAATCTAATGCTGACGATATTAGAAAATTTCCATAATTCTATTCAATTATATTATACGAGATGATAACGAATTTTAAGGTTTCATATTATTATAATATTATCTATTTATAGGACAATTACTTGAAGGTAAATAAATATAATATTACAAGAAGTGTTCTTTAATATGAATTCTTAATTTCAATTTAATGCTAAAAAATGTATTTTTGTAGTCCGTGAAGGAACTTGGTGATAGAGTTTGGGGAGTCAATTTAAAACTTTAAAAAATTCATAGGTCTAAATTATTTATTTAAAAAAATTGAACGGTTGAATTTACATTTGTTTCAAAAAATTTAGGGTCTAACTATTTTTTTTTTTGAAATTTTGAGACTTTAACGTGATTTTTTAAAAATTATGGGAACGAGTTTAATCAAGAACATTAAAAAATTTAAAGTTCAATCTAAATTTCTAAAATTTTTGAGAGGACTAAATTAAAGTTTTTTAAATTTTAAGAATCTATATTATAATTTTTTAATTTTTTTTGCTGGAAGGGGGCGTAGCCCCTCTTGCTTTCCGCCACTGTTTGTAGGAGTTGAATGTTCGACATTAGAGTTTTTAAATCCACCAGGAATATCGAACAATGATGTGAAACTAGAATATTATTTTTATTAATATTTATTTAACTGTTTAAATTTTTTATACCAAATAAATAATTATATTTTTTGCTTTACTCAATACTATATATACATAATCTATAAAGAAAAAAATATGATCAGACAAATTGTTAAAGTATTATTTATATAAAAAAATTCAGAAAACCATATTTAATTGAGAAAACCATGACCTATTTTTTTTCTAGGTCCATTTAAATTTATTCAAATAATGAGTGAATTGACTTTAAAATTCATTCTAAAAATCTGATTAATCTCTTGCGAAACTCTTCCTACTTATTACGTCGGATTACCTCTTGGTCACTTAAAAAGTTTCTATTGGAGTTTAGTCGTCGAGAATAAGGATGAACAAAACTCAATTCAATTTAAAAAAATATTTTTAATTTTTTTAAAAATTATTTAAGTTGGGTTATTTAACTTTTTGGTTTAGAACTAAAGTATGAGTAGAGTTTTCTTCAAGATTGATTTGAGATCGTAATATTATCAACTGAAGGTAAAAAGGTTGACATTCTCAATATGACATTCATGATGAGGTATGGCCGTTATGCGCTATCGGTTATGTTGTTTGCGCTAATAAACATGTCAGTTGCATTCATGGATATTATAAACCGAAACTTTCAACCTTACTTAGATCCTTAGTAGTATTCATCGATAATATCTTGGTGTACTCAAGTTCAAGGAAGACCATAAATGTCATCTTTGCATTGCACTACAGACACTCTGTGATAGATCGATATACGCTAAGGTCAACAAGAACGAGTTCTCGTTGTTAGAGATTGTATTTTTGGGTCACATTGTAGCAAAGGATGTTATTCAAGTTGATCCTTAAAAGATTTAAGTGATTTTGGGATGGAAATCACCAATGAACAAATTTTAAGTTCATAATTTCATAAATTTGTCTGGTATTATAAGATGTCGGTTAACTAAAGGTGTTGGATGTGG